CATTTCTTTGAGAGCTGAGTATTATCACTGGAAGACATTGACTTATTTTTATTGCTGCATTATTTTTCTGTTGTTGCTTCTTTTATTTTTCCCTTTTGTTTAACTGTTCATCCTGCTTGGCATGTTAATTTCAGCAGACTGTTTGACATTTTTGACATCATATCTTTCTGTAGGATGTCCTTGAGAATTTTTTGGAGTATTGGTTTGCTGGTCATGGATTTCTTAAGGTGTTTCTTTTGTTTTGTTTTGTTTTTCTTTTGTCATGGAGTGTCCATATTTCTCCATCAATTTTGAGGGTAGTTTTTCAGGAAATATTAGTCTGGGTTGAAAGTTGTTTTCTTTTAGAGCTTGACCTATGGGTCTGAAGAAAATTATTTTGGAGAGGACTGGAGAAAAAATTTTCCCAGAAGTCATAGTTTTAGGAAAATGATTTCTGTACCACTATTGGGATTTATTCTTTTGAACCGATGCTCTCATTTATCAAATCCTTTATTTTTTTATGTTTTTTTTTGTACCAGGAATCAAACTCGGGGCCTCACACTTGCCAGGCAGGCACTGTGCTGCTGAGCTGTATCCCAGCCCCCTCTATCTGTTTTGAAGGCCTTTCGGGTTTCAGGAATTTTCTTTCAGTTATTACAATTACTTTTTTGAGGGAGCTTATCTTCCTTAGATTTCTTTCACTTGACTTCTGAAATGCTCAGCACTTTGAAGATTCATTATGCATATGTTTTGCCTCTTGCCCAGGCAAGACTCAGCTTTGCTGTCTCAAATTCTGTTTACTCTGATGATCCTGAGGGATCCAGAGGTTCAACACAGACAGCTTCCAACTGGAGGGAGAGGACTTGAGGTGAGGCAAGGAAACATCTACTGCTTACTTCACTGGGGTAAGAATGCACATTTCTCATAAATGCAGGAATGGGAAATTTTATTTGAGTAGTAAACCATAACCTAAAACGTTTTTTTCACATGAGACAGTTCTAAGGTCACCTCTGTGAAGGCTTTATTTTTTTCTTTCTTTTAGGTTAGTATATACTCCATTTTATCACTTTCTTAAGCATTTTCTCCCCCAGGGGCCTGTGACATTAGAGTACAAGACATCCCATTTTCATCTTTGTATCACCATGTCTAGCTTGGTACTTGGCATAATAAATCTTTTATAAAAATTTTTTGAATAAAGAATGTAAGCTTTAGAATATATAGTGCCATTTCTCACAGGCCCCCTTTAACATGCACAGACTTCACATTTCTGAGTTGTATGGTTTGTGGTGATTGGCAGTTGGGTATAACTATGAAATCTTCTAAGGAGAATTTTGCAATTATCTTTCATAATTTTAATTATTAGTTCCCTTAATTGGGGCTCATTTCTAAGTTTTTGAAAAACTCTTTGAAAAATTCTCCTTAAATGTTTCTTTGAGATTTTCTTTCTTTTCTCTTCTCCCTGGACTCCTCTTTCTGGATATTTTTAGAATTAGAATAGAAATGTGTAATGGTTAATATTCTAGGTTAGTTGGAAATTTTAATTACTCACAATTAGATTCAGATGCAAAATAATCAGCATGAAAACAAATATTGTAGCAAATGGCAAGAAAATAGCATCATTTTGAGTTATTGAGAAAGATAATCTATTTGTATATTTTAAGATTCCCGTTGTGTTTGTCAACTGCATTTAGAGAGGTCAGCAAGGAAAATGGCAACTGGAAAATGGTCAGATGAAAGGTTTGATGTGTTGAAGTTCACAGTCTTCTCAAAAAGTAGAATAAACACCCTAAACTACCATTGGTTATCCAGTTACATGCACATAAAAAGATCAGTTTCTGAAGAATCAGATCGTTACACTGAACAGGGAAATGGGCTGGTGAAATGATTAGTTGACACTTTGGGTGGAACCATCATATTGGAGCCTGGAGCTTCTGATGTCCGTGTTGAATATAACTCTTACTTTTGAAGCCCGGGAGTCCCTAAGAGTGGGCTTTCTCACCCCACAGTGTCATGCTAGGGTTGTTGCCACAAAAGGACTGACAAGTCCACCTAATGCCCATGTCTCTGGATACTGATATGTAAATAGCAAAAGACAAAACTTCTAAGCTATAAATGCTGCTCCATAAAGCTATATGAGTCAACGTAATGATATCTCCCATGTTTTAGCCCTTAGGAGAGAAGGGGCCAGTAGTAGCCTGATGTTAACTAACCTACACTTTTTTATAGTTCTGTCTCCGTGTTCCTGTCTTACAGTAACCGACTATTCTGTCATGCCCCCCAGAACACTCTATTTTATGGAATCAAGTGTGGTCAGAGTCTAGCATCACTAAAGTCAACAAGATCCTTAAACTAAATTTCTTGTAATTTTGTCCTTAAATAGCACAGACTGATCTCTTTCTCTTCTTTCTAGAGAATCTGCCACGTAGGTATTTTCTTTTAATGGGGAGATGTGTCCCCTTTGGCTGCTGACTTGTGTTGTGAATTTATTTAGATTAGATGAACATTCCTGAAAATCTCAATAACTAAGCCTGTTATTTATACGTCTGAGACTTCATTTTGTGGGATAGATACAGTAAACAAGAAGAATAAAATATTGCTCAGGTATGGTTTCTACTCAGGAGCTTTTTCAAAGGAGACTATACATAATGTTAGATGTGTGATGAACTGGCTTCAGCTGCAAAGCTTTTTTTTGATACCTACTGAATAATTATTTTGGAATTCTAAATTTCAAAATAGTACTTATCAAAATAAGAAAATCAAATCTCTGTAGACATGTATTATTGTTCCAAATGTACAGTTTTGTTTTCATGTGATCACCTCAGTGTTCAAAAACTAAAATGAACCACGGGGTGAGCAGATTGTGATACCATTACATCCCATCTGGGTAACAGGTGGCTTGTTTTTAGGGTCTCCAAATTTTTTCTTTACTCTCCTGCTGTTTCCTTTGAGATAGCTCTCCCGGGTTCTCTTTCTCTCAAGGCCTGGAGTTTCTAGAAATATAACAAGAGGAAGAATTCATAAAGGAGCGGTTGGCAAACTGGGGTCAGATGACCAATCTAGCCCTTGGCTTGTTATTGTACTGTTGCAAGCTAAGGAAGATTTTTGCTCCTTGAAAGGATTATACAAAAAAAAAAACAAAACAAAACAAAACAAAAAAACCCTCAAACAATGCCTTAGTTGACCCCAAATGCCTAAAACTTACACTATTGGCATTTGTGAAAAGTTTGCTAACCAGTCCTCCACAGAATTAAATACAAATGTCCTAACTTGTCATCTTTCTTTCTTAACCTTCTCTTTACTTCCTATGCATATCTTGCCTCCTATAGCTGCATCGAATGTCCTTCAACTCCTGCTTTGTCCCCCACCACAGCATGTGTCAGTGTTGTTGAGGTTCAGAAAACAATACCTTCCAGTGTGGTGCTTTAGAATTGAGAAGCAGGCCTTACAAAACAATGTCTGAACTCCTGTTCTCCTGTGTTCTGTTCTTTTTTCCCAACCCCCAGCCCCAGAGGGAAGCCATAGTGTTTAGATCTAGAATTTCCTTCAAAGTCTCATAAGTTTGAAAGTTGCTTGGCTCATGAAGACATTATACTCATCAGAAATTCATTCATTTTGGGTTTGGTAGCTGAATATGCTGTTAGAATGTGGGCCTGGTAGGAGGTGGGTCTTTGGGGATGTAACCTGGAACAGTGTGTTCTTGTTGTTTTCTACTCTCTGTTTGCTTCCCAGCTGCCATGTGGTGAATTTATCCCTAATGCTTTTCTGCCATGTTATTTTTGCCTTGGAGCTAGCCAACAAAGGACTGTAGCCCCTGAAACCGTGAGCCAAAGTGTACCTCACTTCCTATACAATGTATGTGTCAAGTATTTTGACTTAGAGATGGGAGAGTGACTGACACACATGCAAACCTGAATTTCTCATCTGCAAAGAAGTCATGGATACTAGAACTCCTTTTCTCAAAATCAGCCTTTATAAAACCTAAAAATATTACTCTAATCTTCTACCTTTCTGTCTTGGAATTGGCCAGAAAGTCTCTGGTTTAGCTTATCTGATAGTAGACCATAAAGCCCGCATTTCAGAATGGATTCTGTGCTTGCTGTATCTGCGAGGAAGAAGTACTGCACAAAGATGCCATGAAGAATTTGACCAGACAGGTCTTGCTAGGTTTTCTCATGTAGTCTATTAACATTGGGTCATACCCTTTGTATTCAATCACATTTCTACATGTCTGTCCCTGTGTAATAGTACCTAAGCACAAAATAGATATGGTTTACCCTGGGTCTTTGGGTCATCATTCTGAGGACTCCAGTGCCCATAAAATTTTGATTACATAAATGTATTGTGTTCTTCTTTGGTTAACTGGCCTTTTGTTATACAGGTGCCATCCATGACCCTTATGATGGGAGAAGAAAGGGGTGAACCTTTTCTCACCTGAAATGTTTTTGTGCACCATTGTCCCTCTTCCTAGGGTGTTCCTGCTCTGAATCTTTTTTTTATTTTAAAGAGAAAATAAACTAACAAAATAACAACAATCAAGACAAAAACAAAACAATACAAAAACAACAAAAATGATACAAGACCTCAAAACAAAATGATAGGAATTAACAATGGTTGTTACACTACATACGGTTATCTTCAATGAAGTTGCTCAGTCCACCAGATATGAATCTTAAGTGATGTGTACATGTTCAGCAATTTATCTGTTTTATATATTGTTCTCTGAAAATGGCCATGTATATAATACTGGTATCTAATGAACATTACCTAATAAGTAAGTACATCTTATCAAATACATAGTATCTAGCCAGGGAGAAAATTACAGACATTAAAAGGAAAGCCAGTGAAAATCTGTGGTTCCCTTTGTTATCGGTTGTGCTGCTGTTGTTGACATTTCTCTTCTTATACTGTCTAGGTTATTTACTATCAACATAAATAAAACAGTGCTCATCTTTTGATCTTTCAAACTTCATTCCCGTTTTATTGATATATATTTATGTGTATTTCATTTCCAGGCACAGAAAAAGAATGAAACCCAGGATCCTGAAAATTAGTGGCTGACTGCTCTGAGTAATGATGGTGAAGGAAGATAACATTTCAGGAGGCAAAAGGCAACTTGTAACAGAAAGTGATTTTGCATGAAAGATGTATGTATCAGACAGTGTTATGGAGAATAAATAGTGTTTGCCATGAGCACTGGGTATTATTAGGACTACTCTAAGGGGCCTGTTGTGGTCACTCTTGTAGTACCCTCAAGATAAAGGGCATTTACCGCATTTAGACACAAATACGAATAATGAAATCTTGGTTTCAAATTGAAAGGAAGAAAGTGAAAATGAATTTGTTTGGCAGCCTACCACCTATGGGGAATGAGAGGTTGGATTGAAACTAAGATAATTGGTGTGTATTTTAGATTACAATGAGAACGCAGAAATTTAGAACTAATCTTGAAAATCAAGATGTTATATTCTATTGTGACATCTGGAGAGGGATGCTAAATATTGGTGCCAGGACAAAGGGAGCAGGAAATAAAGTACATATAGTATTGTAAGGTAAACACCACAAAGGGATTTTTGTTGTTGTTGTTGTTGTTGTCGGGGATTGAGCCTGCATCCTTAGGCTCTCAGAGCACGTGCTGCACCACTGAGCTCCATCCACAGCCCAACGCACAAGCCTAAGTGGTGGTTTAGAAATCATAAAGTCAAAAAGCAGGTGAACTATTCTTTCCCATCCCAATGTGGTATGTTGGGAATGCTCTTGTAATTTTAAACCGTTCAGCAGCAGCTCTTATTCACAGCCTGCTTTCTCCTGACCTTTAAGGAATTGCTGATTAAAACTTGACCCCATATTTCACTGTTTTAGAGCTCCCCAGCAATATAGCTAAAATACCTTATTCAGTATAAGCCCTCCGTTTCTTATTGTGAATTGATGTGAATTTTTTTTGAGATCCTTTTTCTTCCTAGGTAAACCTTTGGCATTAAACTCACCCCTTCTGTGGGCAAAGTAAAGCAGTGAAGTCTCACATCACATTACCTTACCCTCTGTCCAGCTATCTCATTTGTGTATTTACCGTCCCTGTAGTTGGAAGTAACATGTATTATTTTTATTGATTCGCTTTTCCTTATCCTTTAAAGACCATTAAAATAGATGTGTTAACAAGTAGTCAAAATAGATGTGAGGTTAATGAGTAGCTATGTGGCTAGCATTCCATTTACCTGGCTTGGGAAACTTCTAGCTTCCCTTAGAAAATGAGAAAAAGACCTTGATAAGAGCTTGTGAACTCCATTCTATGTAGTGTTTTGATTCACACCTTTAGTAATTAATATTTTCTAACTAAAAAGGAAACCATGTTCCAGCTTTTCATCTGCAATCCCGTGGATCTGTACTGGGCATTAATTTTAGTTTTCCTTGAATTTTAGGTATTTCTTTTGAACTTCGGATAATGCATTTATGTGTGAGTCTAAAATTCCCACTGCTGACACACGCCAGTAATCCCAGCACTTGGGAGGCTGAGGCAGGAGGATTGGTAATTCCAGACCTACCTGGGCTACAAAGTGAGCTCAAGGCCAGCCTGAACTGTATAGCGGGACCCTGTCTGAAAAAGATAAAAAAAAAAAAAAAAAATTTCCACTGCAACTTAGGAAAGAAGATTCTGAACACTGTCAGCTGGATCTATGTGTACCTTTCAGCACTTCACGTTGTTCACAGTATCAGGTAGAGTTGGTAAGCCAGGAGGTCCTGTCCTTTTTTTCTGCTTTACCTTTCAGAGACCTCTAGAGAAAGCAGCCAGGTGCTTTGCCAGTAAAACTGTTCCTTAAGGGTTGGTGTGGGTTGCTGATCCTTTTCTTCCCAGCCACTGTCTCTCAACTAACTGACAAAACCGGTCACACTGGCGCAAGATCAGCCGATCTGGATCGTAGTCTTTGCAAGGCAAACTCATGGAGCTGGCAAGGGCAACTCACGAGGCATCAGATTCTCCCACTACTTTGCATGGGAAAACCTGCAATTGGAAATGGAGGATAAGGCTAAAAGGACACAGAAGATGCAAAGAAGGGAACTACATCTTAGGCTGAGGCTCTGAGCATTTATGGAAAGCAGAAATTATAATGTAGCGCATTTTCCTGGACTCGGAACCAGAGCTCATGTGACCTCAGGACATGGCTGAGCCATCAGATCCCTGCGCTGGCTCTACTTTGGACTCTGATCCAATTGCAATTTCTGTTTATATAGTTTTGAATCTGCCTGTCCTCATCCCCTGATTTTCTTCCCCTGCAACTTGAGTTTCTTGCAGTCAAAAAGACTGACCAGAAACAAATGAAATTCTTGTCATTCAGGCTTTCCTCCCTGAGCTGGGTATCAATGCGCTCCATCTCTTGATGCCGCTGGACGCAGGCAGTCAGTGTGTGCTGTGAACATGCGTCTGACAGGCGGCCATTATCCATTCAGTGAATGTCAAGCTCTTTCTGCTTTCTCCTGGACAGCCGGTCCCCAAAGAACTGTAGCACTGTCACAATTTAAACAGTGCCCAGCTCTCCTTAACATGCAGTCTTTTTGCACTGCAAAGGTGCCCTAGCTATCATAGGCATTGAATTGCATGTATACTGCATGCTTGGTTTCTCCTGTGTGAGGCATAGAACACCAGCTAAGCCTCCTTTTGGAGAGCTGAGGCGCAACTGCACCTCCATCCTGACTTGTAGCCTCCAGGCTTGCCCCTTGCTTTCTGGAAAGGTACGAGCCCATATGGCTTAGGTGCTGTGTCTCCTAAGATCTTTAGGACACGAGCTTGCTGACTCCTCTTTCCTGTCTCCTGACATTCCCTGGCCTTTTATCAGGCTGATGCGCCTTAGGCTTTGGATGGTGAACGTTCAGAATACACCCGTGCTCTCAGGCACGTGGCAGATGGTAGTAAGCACGGATATCAAATGGGGTGGCAATTATCTGCCAAGAAGTTTTATTAAATTTACAAACTGCATTTGTGAGGATCCTGTTTTCTAGCTGCATTTATTTCACAGAAAGAGATACCTGGTAAATATGTAAGTAGAGATAAATAATCCTCATAAGAGTATTTGCAGGTAAGCATTTTTACTTGTATTTTATGAATGAAGAAACTGAAGCTTAGAGTCATTAATGGACATCGCCCAAGGACTTCTAAAAAACAGGTTGGAATCCACATCTGATTTATCCCAAACCATATAATCATCTCTCTTTACTATAAAAATATTGGAATACAAATGAATTATTTTAGCATTAGCTTGAAGTGCCTTTAAAGCTTCCATTTAGTTTCTTTTTGTTTTTTTTTTTGTAAAATTGATAAAACACTTAAAAACTCATCTTCACCAATGACATTTCATTTAAGGGAAAAAGAGGTTCTTAATTTGCAGGCATTGGCCATGAGTAACAGCAGGTTTCTGAGGATATAACTCATTGTTCCCAATCAGATGATAGAAAGGATTTTTTCTGTTGCCTTTCTTCAGAGTAATTGCGTATCTATCTATTTATGTGAGCAATTAATCAGAGACCCAAGCAATCAAAGCAGCAGCCGGAATTCCCATGTTGGATTTCCATGTTACATTCACCAATTCTCAGCACTTTCAATGATTTCTGATCCACGTAGTCTAAAACCATATGAATCACATGACAACTACCGGAGATACGAAAGGATGATTTACCCGTCCTGGAGAATGCATTTCAGATGACTTTGCAGGAAACATAAAGAGAAAGGATTCCAGCCAAGATATTTTTAACTGGAAGGCATTCAATAGTTTATAGAATAGAATGACACTGTTGGGTCCTACATTTACAATTTAAAAATATTTTACTGAGTACAATATTTAATTAATTTAGCAAAAAAGAAAACTATGAAGAAATCTTTGCTTAAAAGTGTTCATTTTTACATAGTTCAGAGTCAGCTTAATACCCATTGTTGTTAACTGTCTGTGGGTTGGTAGGAGAAAAATACACAGACCCGTGGTTTCCAGGAACTGAGCTTCAGAGAAACAGAGCTGGCTTTGACCAAGATGCTGAATGAAAGTTTACTTTGAATAGGATAACTGTTTCCTGGGGAGGGAGGCTGACTCACAATGAATTACTACATTAATCAGTAATTTAGAATTCAATTATTACTTAGTTGCCTACAGCACTCCTCCAGATGAAATTGATGGAGAGAGTTCAAGGAGCCTGACTTTTGGAAGCTGGTGCAGGTCTTGCAAGGCTAGTGGAAGGCAGGTGTGTTGTGATTGGCCTGCCTTGTGTTTTCTAAATTAAAACTCTATGGGAGAAAATCACAAAATTCAGGATATTGACTTCGCTTGTGTTTTGGTTACTTTTTTCTCATTGCTGAGACAAAATACCTGACACGCAAAATTAAGGAAGGAAAGGTTTATTTAGCTCACAGTGTGTGGAGGTTTCAGTCCATACTCGGCTGGCTCCAAGGTAGAGTGGCACATGGCAGAGGGCAACAGTTCTTGGCTGCGGAAGACAGCAAAAACAACAAGAGCAAAAGGGAGGAGCAGTAGAGGCAAGCAGTCTCTTTCCCTCCCTTACACTGTATGCAAGCTATCTGCCCAGAGCGGATGTAGCACTTACATCCATAATTCCAACAATGAATCATGAATCAATCAAAAACTCTAGAAGCCTGCCCCATGACTGCATGAGACTTTGGGGGGGACATTGAGACACAAACCATAACATCTTGAAAAACAAAAAAACTCAGCAGACATGGCCATGAAGAGTCCATTGCCCCTGTCAGTGGAAGAGAGCGTGTTTCAATTCCTCACGTTCTCTTCCACTCTAATGGTGCATCTGCAGTCCTCCCTAGCTGGTGTTGCTCTTGAAAGGCATGTGTGCTGCTAGTTCCAAAACACATAGTTGTACGTGATTTCTGTCTTTTGAGGCATTCTAATTCTAATTTGGCTCTATTATTAGCACCACAGTGACCTTTAAAAATATAATGATGCTAAAATAGAGAATATGATAGCTGTATCTGTTATATTTATATGTTGAGAGCTGTTTGGAATATATGAGGGGAATGTAGAACAACCTTAGATGTACAGGACAATGAGCTGCTATAAGATTGGAACAGTGATGAGCAATACTGTGATATATCTTTGTTCTACTCACCCTCTCAGTCCTTCATCCTAAAACTGGA